TCACTAACTAAAACACAATTCACAGATAATAATTGGTAGGACTTTGATATACTCTTGGATGATAAATTATAACATTTCCTAAATTGTTTTTGTGGTTTCCTGCCTATTGCAGCTGTCCTGTATCCGTTCTCTTTAAAGCAAGAGCTTTTTGCAGAAATACAGTTCTTCATTTTAATCTTTCTTATGACTTTTATGGAATTGTTGTTTCATGTTTCATTATTCAATCCTTTTCTTCAACTCTTTTCCTGCAATGCTAAATTCTTGAAGATTCTCTCTAGATTATGGATGAATTTTTTTGCCTCGCCTAGACACAGACATACAGCTCCTGTAACTTGTATTTTCTGTTCATTAACATGATTCCATAGCGCAAGATGATAACAGTATTTCTCATCTGTCCGACTTCTTTCTGTGTTAAAAAGCTGGCATTTTTCAGTCACTTCCTGAAAACTAGCATCATAAAAGATCCGTACCACTGCAAAATTACAAAGTTTCAAAAACCTAAATACCTATGGTAGAATTATATAGTTGTACCATTCTATTGATAAACTCCCCTTTAAAACATCGACTTTGAAACTTGAGATAATAATTTTAAAGGACATGTACTCTTGACATGAGATATGTAATACATCTCAGGATTATGTTGTCATACTAAAGTTAGATAGTGCTAATTCTTATTGCAAGAAGAATGTGATCTTAATTTGTGCAATAACAGCTATACAAGCGTTTATATATTATTTAATCTTTCATTAATTAGAGCTTCATTGAGGACACTGAGGAAAATCTAACTGCTCATTTCTTCCTCATCCCGCTTCCTTCTAAATGTTTGGAACATATATGTAAGGGTTGAATATTTTGTATATATTGAAACATAATTTCCATTTATTTAAGAGTGGAATTTGTCCTTATTCATGACCTTCACATATCCTTGAAGAGTTACATGTATCTCCTTCTCTTCTTAATAAAAAAAATCAACTGGTAAAAAATCTATGGAGGAGAGAGCATCCCCTGCCGACCGGTCACACCCGCCGTTTGCTCCTTGTCATGATCGGGAAAAAAACAAACCTGAAAAATCCGTTGACAGTTCATTATATAGATAATGGCCTAACAACTAGTATGAAAAACGTCAGTTAGTATTTGACTCAATGATAGGTTGAATGCGCTGAAAAGGTCATTGTATCGACCGTAAAACTTGCAAAAAGACGACTTCAAACGTTGATAATTATCCTTGTTTCAACAACTTGTTTGTCAATAGCTTGCCTCGTTTTAGAAATTGTTCATACATGCTCGCTTGCGTATCGAATCAACTGAGAGACATAAACCCCATATGTAGGTGATAAGGGCATATTGCTACGTAAGTAAGTGAAGTTTACGATTGAAAAGTTGAAGTCATCACGTTTATCATAATGGTTTGTTGTTAGGTTACCATTAACGTCTTTTTCTAGTAAAATATCTAAATATGAAAATTAAACAGATCTGTCAGATTCAGTGGTATCTGTCAGATTCAGTGGTATCTTTTCTTTCAAGCTCATTGGGATATATCGAGTTGACATATGAATGAAAGTAACTACATGTACATGTATTGTTAATTGATAATACGTCGTCGATATATAGAAATGTCGAGTTGAAGGCCACAACAAGTGTTTTCTTCTTCTCATGTAGACGTTTTTGAATAAATTCTGCTTCATATGAATACAAAAATAGGTCTGCTAATAAGGAGGCGCAATTGGTGCCCATGGGAATTCCAAAAGATTGTTGGAAGACCTGATCTCCAAAAACAACATAGACATTGTCAATCAGAAACGATAAATCCTCACTGCTCAAAGGTCCTGAGTGCCGAGTAAAGCCCTTCATAGGTATATGGTGCCGTCTCTATGTGAGTGAATAATTCTCGAAAAGGACTTAAAACAACACACAATCAATCAGTCAATCCCTTCACGCTTAATTGAGCGTTTAAAGTTAATTTGAAAGGTTGAGGTAGCATTATCTTTCAGTGGACCCAAGGGGTACAAGGAGCAAATACTTAGATATAAACCAAAGCAAACACAGAAAGAATCCTGGGTCCACTCTTGTGTTATGTCCAGTCAGGACTATACTTAACTTTTTACCAGCACATGATCTAATTAATTCATTGTTCTGATTCGCTTACTAATAGTAGTTTAATGAAATTAGTAGAATAATGTAATCAGATTTGATTACGTAAAATAACTATCATCATGTGATGTTTTGAGAGAACAGATTAAGAACAATTATTTTTGGAATAAAAAAATAAAATCTTACTAATTTTCTTTATATTTGAGTTTACATAGAGAATATGAAGAACATCATAGGTAAAAAGAAAAAAAAATCCTGAAGAAGGAACAGATTTTTCACCAGTTAAGAAAAAATTACGCACTTCATCATCAACATTAGACACAGTAAGTGAGGAGACAAGTTCCAGTACAAGCTCTATTGGTGGTCTGTCATCAAATGTATATGCCCAGCATGTTGGAGAACTGCTAGCGTATTTGGAAAGTTCTTTTTTAAAACGAGGCCTACTTGGAATGGTCACACAAAAGACAAATGTAAGTGAAAACTTGAGTAACATTTAATCTGAGTCAATATTACAGTCCCTGAAAACTCTCCCACATGATAGGTCAGCGAACGCTGAACAATTGGTGAGTGAACGGTGAGTGAATGGTCTTTGAACACTGAAAGTAAATACAGAGCGCAAACAGAGAGTGAAAGTTGCGGGTCCTTCGGATGAGACCTTAAAAACCGAGGCCCCGTGTCACGGTAGGCGTTGGCACGATAAAGATCCCTCAATGCTCAATGACCCTGAGTGCCGAATAAAGGTCTTAATTTGAAGCCCTTCACCGGTATATGGTGACGTCTCTATATGAGTGAAAAATTCTCGAATTGGACGTAAAACAGCATACAATCAATCAATCAATATGCTCTCACTAAAGTGACATCATATTCCATTTATATGTCCTATCTAGAGGAGTCCTAGTCCGAAATATCTGGCACGTAAAAAAAAAAGGTGAAAAACGCCTGGAAAACATCAGGTATTTCGGACTAGAGGAGTCCCTGCTGTTATAGGGCCTACTGTTTGCATATAAAAGCGAATTGACTTTTGAAATTAATTTTGAAACAAGTAAAGATGAACTTTATTACATTTTCATCAGTGAAATACTGTGATTTATTTATTGAATAAAAGTGATATTCTCTCAGTGTGAAAGGATATCAAAATGATATTCTCTCACAGTGTGAAAGGATATCAAAGTAAGTAAAAAAATAATTTCTGGCCTGTCATAAGATAGAGATAGTAACTAACCATCTTGATAGAGCTAAAACTGCAAATTTCTTCCCAAATATGTTGCTAAAATCCATACTATGTAATGTTTTCAATCTCACAACTGCTAAGCTATGACCTCTCAACTATGACGTCAAGCTCGTGAGACAGGATTTTTTTGATATTTTCACTCGTGCTTCGCACTCGTGAAAATATCAAAAAATCCTGTCCCACTCGTGAAATAATTCCATATTCATCTACAAAACATTGAATATCCTCTATTTATTCACTTAAAATGTAAATCTGAAAATATAAATATAAGCATTGGATTGTTATTTTTTTGACATGCTTTGTTTCATAAGAAGTAAAATAATGTTTGCTTGCCCTCTCCAGACTCAGGATAAAAAAATGGGTAGGTAGGTAGATAATATTCTTTTTTAGATTTAAAAAATCTTCAGAATATGAAGTTAAAACAGTTATTAATGGGATGAGAAAATTTCGGAAAGAATGAATTGTTTTCTGGAGGTTTAAAAAAAGTTTTGATTCGGTCCGTTTAAGTCAGTCGGACAGGAGAGGGCAAACAATCATTTTTTTTTTAAAAAAAGATAGCCTTTAGAAAAAAAGTGAAAAGTCAAATCACAATTACGATAAATCTTTTTTATTGATATTTCATTTAATATTATAATTATCGTATACTTCATGTAAAATCTCCACAAATCGTAAAAATCCCACAAAGATTGAAATTGATCATCTATGAAATAGCATGTATATATACCAAAGAGGTTAAAATTGATCAATTTTTCATTAAAAAAATGATCAATTCTTCATTAAAAAATACAATTTTTCTATATGAGTGAGTTTTGGCTCTGGTGGGTTCAAATCCCACTGTGGGAACTGGAGAAGGGTTCTTCCGATTAGCCTGTTTAAACGGAGGCCCCGTGTTGCAGAAGGTGCTGGCACAAAAAAGATCCCTCACCGCTCAATGGCCCTCAGTGCCAAGTATAGGGCCTAGGTTAAAATTTGCAGCCCTCCACCGGCAAGTGGTGGCGTCTCCATATGAGTGAAAATCTCTCGAGAGGGACGTTAAACAACAAACAAATAAACACAAGCAATACCATGTTACATATATCACGTATCATTGGAAGTAGGGCAAAACGTTCTATTATTAGTCATTCAAAAATTCAATTAAAGGATTTTGGATGGCGCTTCACAAATGACCAAGCCCTGATTCCAGAGTAAAGAAGCATAAATGAAATAAAATGTCATTAATATGTTGAGCTTCTTTGGAGTAAAATTTTACCATCATAACAGTACACGAATATGATTTCATCAGAAGTTACACTTTACAACTATTCTGAATAAAGAGTGCAAACTTGACTTCAGCAATATCTATTAGACAAATTATCATGATATTCGAATTCAGATTGTTGTCACAAAGTTTATCTCTTTAGTTATTATCATGGTGTCAAGATAAGAATATTTATAATTAAAATTTAAAACAATATTGAATTTTTTTTAAAATTGTTGAATTTTCATGATTTTTTAAATAAATTAAACTTTGACTTATTCCCATCATATTCATATCTAAGTATGTTGTTGCATTTTTGGTATTTCAGTGAGGTAAAAAGAGGTCCCATGTAGCATATTTTGGATTAATCAAATACCACACACATAAAAATTTTAATTATTTGACTAAATATAGGAATATTTTTAGAATATTTAGCTTACAGATGATTTCACAGAAATCAAATAATTTATTCTGTATATTTGATGACCGTCACATTTCCACTCTTGTACTCCCCCACCCACAGTCTTCCCAGTGAGTCCACACTCAGTGCTCCACAGAAATCCAGACTACGGAGAAACTGACCGTCCTGATCAATGATGTGGGTACAGGAATTCCCGATATCCTTTACTATTATACGACCAGCAGAGTCTGTAACAATACTGGTAGGATTAAACTGCTTCTTCATCGATTGTTGTCCTTTATATCGGAATCGGAGTTTTCCTACCTTGTTCACCACAACAACATCCTTGCCATTGCAATCAGAGGCACATATATCACCGTTGTTGTTCTCCGCCACAAAGAGCATCTTATCTCCTTCTTTATATAGTGGGTTACCTTGGTCGTCCTTCTCTATCTCCTGCTTTATTGTTTGACTTTCATAGCGGACAATTTTATAATGTTCACCATTAGATGTGCGCATACTAACCAGTAAGTCACCAGATTGTGTGCAACACAGTCCTCCTGCTTTCCATCCCTGTGGTGCTGTGATATGTGCTGTTGTATGGTGGACATCATAAATTACTTTATTTACTACATCAGTGTATAGCAGATGTCCTTCTTTTGAAATTGAAATGTCACCAGGATAATTTAGACAAGTGGAAGTAACGGTCTCCTGTACAGAACCCTGTATGTTAAAACGAGTAATGGTTTTATTCCTCCCCGTTATCCACACCTCCTCTGTATTAGCACATGCCATCCTCATCAACGGTGTTATTCCAGTGTGGAAGGCTGAGATTTCCACGGCCTTGTCTAGGAGCTCATTGGATACATCTAATCTGTAGATCGGTTCTGTTTGGATCTTGGGTTCCTTTAGTTTTCCGAAAACGTGGTAAAGTTTGCCTTTATCTATGTCCTTGGACACGAACATTGGTAGTTCCAGTTCTATATGTAAAGGAAGCTTAAGATACTTCTGAACATTGCTTTCATATTTTGTGATGTAACCAACATTCTTGGATTGAGAGATCTCTTTGTTTTGCAGAGAAATTTCATTAAGGCTTGCAAGAACATTTTTGATCTCCTTCTGGTATTCTTTTGATTTCTTGATGCCATTTCCTCTCATTTCTGCAATATCTCTCTTGTTCTTTGCAACAATTTCTTCAATAAATCGCTGCCATTTTTGTCCATGCTCTGTAACTGATTGTTCTAATTCGTCACATTTAGCATTTAAAGTCGCTAATTTGGATTCTATTTCTGTATCTGCTTTTTCAAATTTTGGAATGATATCGTCTTTTAGATAAGCTGTGTCCTTCTCCACAAGCTTTTTCATGTCATCAACGATGTCCTTAATTTCAATAATTCTATGACCGTTATGGGCTCCGCTGAGACATTTAAAGCAAACTTCTACATCACAATTCTGACATTTAACAGTGCACTTTTCGCCACTATGGGCTTTGCAGTTTGGAAATGAAAGGTGGAATTTTCTCTCTCGGTATTTGACAACCTCGTGATTAGAGGATGATGACGTCATATAGTGTTTTCCGACACATTCTTCGCATAAGTTGACCTGGCAGGGATTACAGTGAAGGAGGGCGGGTCTCCTGTCACAGTAGTGACAAAGGATGACTTCCTGTGCTTTAGTTGTACCGGTGGCCATCTTTGGCAATGTTACAAAGTTCCTACCAATTCAATCTAAATACAGTTAAATTACTCAATAAATTCTCAGTTCAGGTCTTAATATGTGTAACTTTTGCTTAAAATTCCATTCAAAGGAGGGGAGTACAAGTTAATTTACAAAACCTTAATCTTTAACTGTTTAATGAAGAGGTTCACGTGTATAATTGCATTTTTCATGAACTGTGTATGTGTTTCACGTAATGTACTGTATTCAATTATCTTCTCTATTGAGAAGACATCTCTATATTACTCTCCCTCAAGAAGTAATAACTCCTTGTTGGGGAGTAACAATGAGCCGTAAACTTCTCAATAGATAATATTAAATGAGTAGTTAACTTCTTAATAGAGAATACATTCCATTAAGTTTTTGATAATGCAGATGTTTTGTTTGTAGGAACAGTTTTAATAGTGTCCAAAGTTGTCCCTAATTGATGTTGCCTGTGAACCCCCCCCCCCCCCAGTAAATAATATGAAGTTGAACAAAAAAGGAACTGTTTGACTGGATAGTTTTCCTTGTAAGAGATCTATATTTAATATATTATACAAATTTAAAAAATTTAAAAAGTGCACTTTGCAATAGCAGATTTCTTTTACAATAAATCTAGCCTCTTACACGAGTATTCAGAGGCAAAATATGATATTATTCAAATTATTTCACATATGTTTATGAAGTGCAAGCTAGAATTCAAACTTCAAAGTACAGGCACTGCATAAACATTTACATTCGTTTTCGCTTTCAGTGTTATTTTTATATTTATTGAGATTTTAAATGCTAGCTTGCACTTCATAAACATATATTAAACATATATAGAATAATTTGAATATCATTTGCCTTTCAATACTTGTGGATAAAAGGGTTAGATTTTTTAAAAAAATATTCTGTACAAAGAGCATTTTAATTTGTTATTTTGTATATAGAATATCTCTTTCTTAGAAAACTGTTAAGTCAAAGTTTGTTATTACTTCATTACTATGATGTGCAGGGTGTAACTCTGAGAGTATTCTCTATTTGAGAAGTTGATGGCTCGTTTTATACTCCCCCTCAGATACTTCCCCTTGAGCAGAGGGCTGAGTATAAAACGAGCCATCAATGGTGCGGGATTACAATTTTATGTTACCCTAAAACATGTAATATTTCTAGAATACACGTATCAAATTTAAAAAAATATTATTACCTTTCTGTTTTCATGTCGGCCTGCTTCATTGTTCGATCGTCGCAAAATTAACTTTCGGTTTGAAAAGCTATTTTATATTTTTATATGTAGAGTTGTCTCGCCTGCTATGCATTTTTTATCCAAGCTGTCTTCTCTGTGTGAAAATATTACTCTGTAAAAAAGAATTCTCTACTGTGGTTAAGTGGTTTTTCTGGCTCAAATTCCTTTCTATGAACAATGCACTTGAATTATTAAAATACAAGCCACTATAAGTATGGGGGGGGGGGCTGTTTGTAACACTGATAGTATGAAAAGCCCCCCCCTCTTCCCCCTTTGTCAAATCTGTTATATTATTGCATTCAAAATATTTTTGTCGAAAGAACTGGAGCCTAACCCCCCCCCCCCCCTCCAGCTTAGCTTTCTAGCAAATAAAAAAAAATCACTAAGATCACTGCATAACGGAAAAGAAAGGTGGAAAATTTTACTAAAAGTTTGGATTTTGAGTGTACAAATTTACCTGCGAATCATAGAAAACAATGAATACATTACTTGTGTGAAGTGTGCAACGCTTCCAATACTAACGTTTGCTTTGATAGACAAAAAGCAGGCCCGTAGCAACGGTTTCGAAAAGGGGGGAGGCAACTTCCCAAAAACCTGACAAGCAAAAAAAAACCCCCTAAACTGACCAAAAGTAGGGGGGCAACTTCCAAAAATTATCTGACAAGTAAAAAAAAAAAGACAATAAAGGGGGGGGGCAACCAGTATCTGAAGATTTACTATAGCAAGAAACTATACTCAGAAAAAAGTTGCCCCCCCCCCCCGCCCTGGCCCCCCGCGTTCTACGGGCCTGAAAAAGCACACACCATTCAGCACATACACGTGTGATTCGATGTGACGTGGGTTTAAGTATATCAGTGCTCACACGTCCACTGAAAGTTCAGTCTTCAGACTTTCAGTGAAAATGTAATTAGTCATCGTATACTTGTTACCTACGTAATACTAAAGTCTTCTTTTTTTTTAAATTTGACAAAGTCACTAAATTCTTCAGGAGCATACTCAAAAAGTGAATTCATTACTTTTTTTCCACAAGCTCGACAAGTATACAAAGCCCAATTCTGTCAAAGCCGCCCTGAATACTAGTATAATTATATATCCTTATAGCTGTATTTATTGTAATGTTAAGTTTAGAAAATAGTGTAACTCTGACAAAAAAGTGCACATAATACAAAATTAAGACATACACACTTCTACTAAGATTAAAATAAGAACCTAAATAAGGCTAAATAATGAAAGGATATTATAAAACAGCCAATGAAAGGGAGAAAATTGAATTATTTCCAAGCAAATTTGATTAATTAGATTAAAATATTCATTGTCATCGTAAGAATGACACTTGCTCCAAAACTTACATCGTCGCGTTATATGGTTTTTCATATTATATAAGCCCCATGTAAGCCACAGTAAGAAGTAAATCGATATAGTGGCACCCACTAAATGCAGAACTGATGAAAAACTGGACAAAACGGAAAGCATTTTTCTTTTGTATTTCATTTGTATTTTTCACCAATACCTTTTTAAAGTAATTATAATTGTGTTCTTTGCAACAAAAATAATAATTCAAACAGACTTTTAGATACAATTATTTTCTCCTCCATAAAACATCATTTGGTCAAGAAAGTCTATTGGTAAGAGGTAGAAGTTGTGTAGCTAAGGACGGCTTTGTTGGTTGAAACCCATGACGAGTCAAAAAGTCGATTATTTCCTGTCCGCCCGGTGTAAAGACGAATAATGACCCCCATAGAATAATGACCGGGGGTCATTTTTCGACGTCGAATAATGACCCCCGGTCATTATTTAACGGCGAAAAATGACACCCGGTCATTATTCGACATCGAAAAATGACCCTTTTGCCCGTAGAAAAAGAGTCATCACCCTAAAAACATGCATACCCCACGTGAAGAAAAATGACCCCCGTAGAATAATGACTCCTTGTTAATTGAAGCGGATTAAAGTTGAAACTTTTAGGGGGCAAAATAAAAATAATAAATCAAGAGACTTGTTGGTCAAAATGTTCACTTGAGCTTCATTGGGAATAAATCGATGATATATTGATCTCATTACATTATACAATCATTGCTGTTTTTAAGGTCAATTCAATGATTCAGAATCTAGTGGAGTTAAAGATTTATCGATTCCAAAGGGCGAGGAGAGCATTGTTTCTCGATGGTGGAAAATCACTGATCGTCCTGACAGAAAAAAAACAGCAATAATTGTTTTATTATATGATTCAACGATTAATTTGATACAAACTGATTAAGCAGACATGTCAAGTTTCTTGTTTATATTTGCTCAAGTCCTAACCAAACACAGTGAAAGAATAGGAGTTAACATAAGCATAACCAGTATTAATTTTGCATTTGAAATCTAGTTTTGGTGCAATGTAGAAAAAATAAATGTCAGGCATATCATCGAAAGGGGAAATGGCGCATTACAAGAGGCAAAAAATACTTTCAGTTAAAAATATCTTTGATGAACCCCTCAAAAAGTTTATTGATGTAAGTGGGATTTTCTTTTACTCTAGTGTATCAAAAAGTTGGGGGCAGGACAACCAGACTTGCAATGACCATTTTCAAGCAAAAAAAAAAAAAAAAAAAAAAAAAAAAAAAAAAAAAAAAAAAAAATACGTTCTTGGAAATGGAAGGGGGTGGACACCCCATATCTGATTCTATGTGTCTGAATGTTATGTTCATTTTGTTTACTCAAGTAGGAGAGATTTTTTAACTATACTGTATAAGAAAGAGGGGGTGGTTACAAGACTTTCAATGAACATTTTCAAATTAGAAATTGCTAAAATTTACATTCAGAAAAGGGGGAACACTACCTCCCTCTTCTCCGATTCTTTGTGCTTGAATATTATGTGCACTTGAGAAGAATTCAGATGCAGGTAAAATAACTTTTCAGAATTGTTTTCAATCTAGTTTTAGTTTAATGTAGAAAAAATAAATCCTTATACATGTATTCACCTAGAAGGTCAATAAAATAGTCTGTCTTTAATTATAAATTGAAAACATTAATCTACTTCAATATACACTGTATTGAAAATGTTTCCATATTGATTTGGCAAATGTATCACTGTTTTAAAGTAAATTAAAAAATATTCCTCTTATATGTTCGTATCCTATTCTCAGACGACCATGTTAACAGACTTGAATGTACAATCATTATACTGGGATTCTCCTGTATTACTTCTATATACTTGAAAAGAAATTCCCATAGAGTAGACCACTGTTTATAAATAACATTGAATGCACATTATAAGATTGTATATATTTTAGACATGCAGAAATTTTATGTTGTTTGTCACGTCTGCTTCATATTTGGACGTTCTACTGACTATACTAAAAGACCAACTAACAACTAAATTGTCTGACAAACGGGATGACTTCAGCCTTTTCTATTGTCAATTTTCCTTATTTATGAAGTAATATTCTGCAATCATTTGTATATAATGCTTACGTCTACTTATTCGATGCCCAAGAGCACGATTAATTTTTAAATCGAGGCAGGCTACTGACAGATACATGTAAGTTGATGTTACAGGGGTTTCAACAACCTCATTTAAAGGCAGCATTTCGTAGATTCAATGGTCGTATCAATGACCCTGTCAACAAATATAACCTATAATTGGGTCAATTGTTTGGCTCTTGTTTTTATACTAAATTCAACAACGGAATGTCCCGTTTACCTGATTTATTCATAGCGCTCATGGCGGGTGTGGATGCTTACTCTTTCTAGGCACCTAATCCCACCTCTGCAATTTTCGGGGGTCCTTTTTTATGCCCTGTTAACAAAATTGTACTGCTTGTGGATATTTTAAAATCATCACTGTTCGTTTTATTCACCATTTTTTCATTAAGAAAAATATATATCCACAGTATGTCGTTCGCACGAGTTATTACGTCATTTTCGATACATTCTACCTCATTTGCACGACTTTTTATGTCATTTAAAATATACATATATATTACATTGCATAACTTTACGTATTTATTTCTGAAAACTTATCTCATTCTTTTTTTCCCTTCATTTAAAAAAAAAAAAAAAAGGTTGATCCTACTCAAAGCATGCTGATTACTTTGGGAGACATGTTTACCAATGAAAAGCCAGAACATCCTGCTTGTCTGTTAATTAGCTATGAATGTGTATAATCAGTCAAATATCCAAATATAAACAAGTGGAAGACAGTCATAAAGGAAATTACGTTAACAGTTATAACCAATAGTAGCCATTCTGCGATTTTCAATGTGTGCTGAGAACACAATAGGCTTAAAAGACAGAAATATGCAGGTAAATGTATTGCAGTTTTATTGCATTTTAATTGCGCGTTCGTCCAGTGTTGGTCAAAAAGGGCATAAAGAAGAATATCAAACATTGAGGTTCAAACCTTGGCATCAATCACCCGTTATAAATTTTGGATCATGCACTCTGTTGGAAAGGGGATCAATTTTCAACGGGGGTCAATTTTTTATAGGACGCCAGATAAAATAATGACCCCTAGGTCTCTTTTTCTACAAAAAATTAATTAATGGGGGTCATTTTTTGTCGTTGAAATATGACCCCCTGGTCATTATTCTATGGGGGTCATTATTCGTCTTTACACCGGACCAGTTTTTAGCCACATCCACTCCATTAACACCGCTCTCACGTTAACTTTATTGAAAAAGTTATCACCTCCTCTGAATACCCTATTCTCATAACCCTCGACATCCATTTTTATTATCACTTTCTTTAGATTAAAATCCGGAAGTTTGAGTATGTCGTCAAGAGTCGCTGTCTGTACGTTTCCATAGTTACCTGAAACTCGACTTCCTCTGACTTTGTTTGGATTTTTATCTTTTGCTACAAAGGTCTCTTCGATGTTTCCTCTGTCTGCTCCCAGGGAAACTGTTTCGTGGACATCTGAAAGTGCGTTATATATCAATTGAACGTTGTTTGTAAAATTGCTCAGTTTCAAAGTAGCACATAATCTTTGGAT